TGGGTACCAAACAAATCACGGTACAATATGAACATTCATAACAAAGGAAAACGTCTATTAATTGCCAGTGGATGAGAGACCGCTAGGGTAACCAGGTTTAAGCAAGTGAATTTTCTTGGTGAGTTCATAACCGAAGCTGTTGACTAGCCAAAGCCAGCACCACGAGGCAGCTAGATGGTACGTGAAAGCCGCCATCCATTGCGGACCGAAGTTGAGTTCATCGGATTATACATCCTTTGAGCGGGATGAAACGTCCAAGATGCTAATTATACCTCCATGTCCAACTGAACCGATGACTAGTGCCGCAATCAAAAAGCTAAGTGTGGTTCGTACGCTTCTTCTTGGTTGGTTAAGAATCAGTGTATTTAGCCCGCTACCCGAGGTGAACTGCCAGTGGTTCACCGACCCGGTTATAGCCACGGATTTTGGCTTTTGGTTTAATCATTATGGTGAGGAAACAGCGCCACGATAAAGCTTCCTTGGCAGAAGTTGGTTTAGACGCTTGGTCATATAGGATCGTTGCGCGGGGTGCAAGGGAACGTAACCGGTCACAACCTAAAACACCCATCCCCAACCATGCTGAGATTTTCGAGGACTCCTTCATGAAGCTGTATGACCAAAATACTATAATCTAATCACTGCATGCCTAAAACATCGTCTCAATATTTGTCGGTTAATTTGTCTTACCTGCAGCACTGTCGAATACAGGCTCCCGCACCACGATCGAACGGCTTGTACAGCCCCGATTCGGTTGGAATCATGGAAACACCGATGACTCGGGGACAGGTGCATCCATAGTTCCGGTACCAATAGATCAAAGCGACCACCAAAGGCAGACCGATAAACGTCAGAAGGCATAGAGGAATGACCAGTATGGGTTTTGGCGAGCCATCTGTGTCCGGTTGATACGAAAGCAAACGACGGCAATCAGTTGTTGAAAGTTTGCGGTGTACATGCGTGTGTGTAATGAATGGAGCATTGGGAGATAAGGTAACAGAGAGGGGGGGATAGAATGAGATCGAGATGCGAATTCGACTCCGAACAGAATACGTTAGCATGCGTACAAAAACCACGGACACGAATGCACTCAAACATAGCAATTGTATAGATAAATGACCTCTCTCCCGCATACACATAAGTGTGCGGTTATTTGGAAACGGCATCTGCGTGAGATTTCGGTTGAAACGGGTATGACATGCGTGGCATAATGGAATGGATGAAGGAAAAATTATTGTCAAACCACATGCTTGTCGATGCACACAAATGGAAAAAACGTCTTCTCTCGATTCGTTCATGACACTTTTAAACACAAACAACATCACATGCATAAACGCGGCTGAATCGTGTGAATTTGAAGTCGCACCAAACGATATCAATTCCTCCATGAGACAATCACCTTCGAAGCGAACGCGTTTCAAGGTATGGCAAGAGAAATTCTCGGTGGGCACAAAGTGACTGATCGAAATAATCGCATGCACGATCGCCAAGTAAAGCATCATCATCATTTACATCCTGAGAATCCGATTGTGAGTGGAACTCAGATGGGACACTTCAACCTCTCCCCTCTTCTCCTTACTCCCACATTTGACACTTGGCAAACGGGGAGCACAAACGCAACACCACACTCGTTTTTCCCCAATATGAGCAGAGAAATAATGATAAATAAAAACAAAAATGGTACATTCTCGATATTTTGCCACTTTTTTTATTTCTCTTTAAATAAAACAAACAACTGGTATTCGGTCGGGGAACACTTGTCCGGTTTGCAGTCAAAGCACACAGATAGACAAAACAAAAAAACATTTAGTACTAAGGTTCGGCGCAGACTGGTAACGAGCCCGGTGCAGACAGCTGGTGCGCAAGACACACACACAGATACATACACACACAAACACGACGCCGCAGATATAGTAAAGTGCAGTGAGAAGTGCGTTGTGCAGGAGAGCGTATACTAGTGAGCCAGCGACTAACCGTGTTTAGTTTCAGTTGCTATTGTGCTGTCCGACCAATCCTGGACGTTGGTTGTGGTGGTACGCTCCAACGATGACCGTGGTGTGGTCGTAACGGGTATCTCAGGCCGCGAGTAAACTCTGGACCGATTTTTAGGCCTGGACGACCAGGGACGCCTTCTAGGCCACGGAAGCGCTGGTTTCGGACGGCGTGTATAGCTCAGCCACGGGAAGAGAGGTCGAGGTGTGGTGCGGCGTGGGGGTACATGTGAGGTGGTGGTGGTAGTGGTGGTGGGAGGTGTTGTTCGTCTTGTTGCGGCGGTTGTGGTCGTAGTGGTCTTTTTGGTTGGCACTACCGGCCATTCTCGCGCGGATGGATTCTGGTTACGAAATCGTGTAGGTGGTGCCCACGGGGGCAAAAGAGAATCGGGACTAAACTCCCTCGGTCGCTCGACAGGCGAGCTGAACCGGAACACTGTGAGGCCGTAGTGTGGTGAATACCAATTTGTTGAAGGCAACGGAAACACAAAAAATAATTTAATGATCGTACATACACCATAGTTGTATATTTGACCGATTGAGGACGTCTATATGTCATGGAATTTACTACACACAGCATCGTACCGCAAG